CGATGAACAAATTGTGACTTATAAATTTGTTGAATTGTGACGTGAAAATAATGTTTTATATATAAAATTGTGATTTGTGACCAATGAGTAATACATGACTTGGTAATTTTATAAATTTGTGATCGATGAAAAAATTGTGACTTATAGAATTGTCGATTTGTCATTATGAAATAATTTATAAATTATAAAACTTTTTAATGTGACCGAGAAATAATTTGTAACCAATTAATTTATAATTTGTGACTAAATTATATGGAATTGTGACCTTAATATATTTAGAGGTTGTCTGGGCGTGCTTATGGAGGAGAAAAAATCAAAATTTTAACCATTGCAGCGTACAATTGTTGACCCTCTCTCTCACGGTTGGGACCCGCATGTCTCCGCCAACAGTAGTATTTCTAATTTTAAGTGGGCATTTAATTGGAACCAGACATGCACTTAATTTATTTATTTATAATTAAAATTTTAAAAATCTGACATATTTTTAAAAAAATTGAAATTTTAAATTTTAAACCTTATCCTTTTAAATTTGAAATGGGTGAAACTTAGGGACTGTCAGTTGCGAATTGTTTCATCCAAATAATTGCTTTTTGGACCCTTTTTTTCAACCAAGTGGGTCCCAGTGTGAGAAAGGTAGTCAAATGTTGCGGCTTCTTTCTCTTTCAACGGTTGGAAAACAATTAAAATTAGAAAGAATAGCGCGGCCAAACAACGGCTTAAAACTCTTATTTGTGAAATTTCTCCTCTTGAATTTCTATTTGAAGCTCAGCATCATGCATAACATATTGGGCTAGACCAGTCGAATAGGTAGGTCCAATCTTACACTCGAGCATGCAAACGCATATTTTCCAGGAAAGAGTTCACAAATCAGGTTTTAAGTTTCACCAATGCAAAAATCAGGTTTCAAGTTTAAAAAATGCAAAACTCAGGTATTTAGTTAATTAATTAAAAATAATTATTATTTAAATATAATAGGTCATGGATTACATCATTGGTCACGGATCAAAAAATTTAAAGGTCACAAATTAAAAAAATTATAGATCACAGTTTATCTATCGATCACATATTTCCAAATTTATTGGTCACGGATTATATTTTTAGTCACAGATTATCAAATTTTAATGTCACGGTTTAATAGTTAATCAAAGAACCAAATACTTGGTCACATACACCTAAACACCGATCCCCTGATCCCAATCCGCCAAGACTATTTGGTCACAAATCGACCAAATAGTTGGTCACAGACACTCTTTGTCCCATCCCTGCCACCACCGTCACAACCACCACCAACACCAACAATAACACCAACAACACACCACCACTCAAACCACCATCGTCGTCGCCTACACAGCACCACCAACAACGTCGCCCCATCACAACACCACCTCACCACCGTACCGCACCTCACCATCGCTGATGTCACAGCAACGATCGCGAACCACACCAAAACCTTCGCCATCGACCACCACAAATCACAACTCCACAGATTTGTGTGAAGAAATTAAACTAAGAAAAAAAATGTTCCCATCGCCTCTGCCTCACATGTCACACCAGCACCATCACCATCACCCTTTCTCTTCTCCTACTCAATCTACAGCGCCGACGACGACGGGGCTTGTGGTGTGGTGTCAGCCGGAGTAGCTCTATCGCTGGTTGCCGGGGTTTGAAGGGGAAGAGAAGGGGAGGAGCAAGAGAGTGGGGAGGGAGTAGAGAGTGATAAATTAGCATTAAGGTTATTAATTAGATTTTTAATATAGTGCCTGATTTTTAAATAACTACATTTTAGATTTGAGTTTTAAAAAGCAATCTTTAAACACCTGGACTTATGTAATTTTCCCTATTTTCCGTAGTCTCTGTCCAATTCATCTTCAAAAATCGTGGCTCAAGAATTAAAAGGTATGACCCGGTTTCACATATATTGAAACTTAACTCATTTTTATAGAAAATTTATTGAAAAACTCCTCATGATTTAAATTTTTGAACTTTCGTTCGTGACGTGACATCATAAATAATATTATTTTGTGACATATAGGCACTTAATGGTGTCAAGCATAGTGATAATTATTGTAACTATTAGAAACGTACGTCATTATTACCATAAAAAAACACTTCAATGATCATCAAAGTGGTCTTCGAAAACTTGAATGATGATTGCCGAAATTAACCAAGTAAAAGTAAGATTTTGTTTGGTGGCGATTTTAAGCTGCCAAAAAACTGATTTTATTATCGTTGGACGTGCAACGGTCAAATAATCAACAAAGCTGCTGAGAGAGAAAGATTAAATATGGTGGCTTAACAATTAGAATTTTGATTTCAAGCGGTCCCAAACAGGACATACCTTGTTTGGCCCTCTTAAAATTTTAATACATTTCTCTCTCCCTCTTCAACCACACATTTTTCAATACAATAATATTATACGTAAATTAAGAAAATTTCTTTATTTTTTTAACTATACGTTTTCTCAAAAAGTTACTATTCCAAAAATATATTATTTTCAAAATCTCATCAAATGGGGTTAAACAAAGGAAAAATAAACCAGCTTATTTTCTCTTTTAAATTAAGGGTTTGTTTGGGAAGGATTAAAATTCAATTAAAATTGAAAATATAGTCGTTATTGGGTCCCACTCGTCTAATAAAAGTCAACTTCAACAGCTATATTTTCAATTTTAATCTGATTTTAACCACTCCCAAACAAGCTATAAGTTACATGTTTAAACAATTAAATATTTAAATTAAGTTAAATTACATGTTGACCCGCAACCTATTACTCAAGTAGTAAGTTGATCATTGACTTTTAAAAATGTGCGTAATGGTCCTAAAGATTTAATTATAGTTCGACAATCTATTCCCAAATTACAAGAAGAAAAAAGGTAAAATGAAAATCGAAATCGCCGGCCGGCGATTAATATTTAATACGTTTTACTCCGTTACTCTACAGAGTAAACGGCTATGTTTTTTCTCCTGTTGTTCTATCACTAACCTCCTCGTGAATCGGCGAAGCCAAAGGAGTGAAATACATAGGAGAGGCACAAGGTGTTGAAAACTCCGCCTCATCGCCGCCGCCGTGATCATTAACCACCATTGCGGCTTTGGGCGGCTCTTCTACCACCTCAAAACATTCCTTCAAGGTCACTTTTTTTCTAATTCTACTAATATTACTTTTGTTGGATTCTTTTTCAGCAGAAGAACACAATGATTTCTCAGCGAGCGATTCCAAGTCCTCTTTTTCCTCTTCTTTGATTGTGAACAAGAATCTCGGCGGTCCACACATTCTCTGAAGCTTCCAAACATCTATAACTTCCGTTTCCGGTGGCGCGTTTGAACTTAGATCATTACTACTCGTCGGAGAAATGGAGTTGGGTTCAATACGGGGTTGCGATCTTACACAGAAGAAGTAGAGGAGATCCTTGGAGGGGATCACTGACGGAAAACAAGAGTCTCTATCTGAAGAAGAAAATTGGGGCAGTTGAAATTCGCCGTTGCTGGGTGGTGGATTTTTGCGGCGGAAGACACGGCGGCGCCACAACACATAGAACAGTTCGGCGAAGAGCGCCACCAGTGAGATAACAAAGATTATAGTGAGTGCAATACCTAGCTTGCTCAGTCCGCCGCCACCCATTTTGGTTGCTCTCTATGTTGAATTATTTAATTTACTTATAATCATTTAATAGAAAAATGAGCTTCTGGAAGAAGTAACGGATAAATTTAATGACGTGGCCTCATGGTTTGAATGAGTTCAAATCTATTGCGCGGAAAGAGTACTTTTTCTAGTCAGCTCCTTCACCAGCTCCATCTTTGATTAAGCTTTTAAGTAATTATTATAAGTACTTGATTACTCTTAAGTTCTTATAAAAAGTCGATCTACTTATAAGTTTTTAAGTGCTTATAAATTATTTCTCAACTTTCATTACTAGTAATTGTACCACACAATTTAAGTGATTGTCTGAAAAAAACTATAATCCTACATTATTTAGAATCCACAGTTAGTATTCATTTATTATCTACACGTTGTACAAGACCCACTATTCCTTTTTATTATGATTCCATTATAATTTCTCCCGAACGACTTATTTATTATTTAGACGCTGCACATAAAACATAGTTACGTTCACTTACAAGTGCAAAAGTATCAATATTCGGTATATGGATATCAAATAGGACGAATCACTGACCGACTCATCCAAGAGGTGAGTCATGGGGTGAACTGATAAGTGTACTTTTTATACTTATTCGTGGCGCTGAATTATGATATTTTATTATCTTTTAAATTAAATTCTATCTAATTTATATGTAAAACTTTATGTTTAATGAAGAATTGGAGAAAAGATGCAAAATTGCGAAAAAAAATGACAAAATCCAAAGATTGAGGACTTGAAAGCAAGAATTAATTTAATTTGGCAACAAAGCATATAATACATATATATCCGTTGTGCCTGAAATTGACAGTGGGCCGACTGAGCAAGGAGAGAAAACACGTTGGGGCTGCTTGGGCTAAGGCTGAATTAATATAGAAAAGGAGGAGACACCATGCAGGCGGCGAAAACTGGGTTGAAAACAAAGAAGGCAGCCGGCAGTTTTAGGAGCAAAAAGAGAAAAGAAAGATAAAAGCAAATGGAGAAGAAAAAGTCAAGAATTACGGCCGGAGAAAACAGAGAGGCTGCAATTGAATATATATACAAATCACGCACATAGTGTACAAATTTTTGTGGCTGAAAATATATTATTTTCGCGTGCAAAAATTTGGCAGCTATTCTGGGCAGAAAATGGTTGAAATTGAGAAATATAACTTCACGTTTCATCAAATTTTGGTGGTGTCTTTCCACTTTTACGTGTTTAAATTCAATATTATAAGTGGTTAAATACTTTTATTGTCATGATTGATAATGTAACTTAATGTTTTTATTATATTTTTAATTTCAAGATGTTCATGTCATTTTAATACTTGTTAATTAATTATTGGGTGTTTAATGTTATTATTGGTTTGCGCAATAATTAATTGATTTAGGGATAATACTGAGACCGAGAGGTGATGTATAATTCTAACTCGTGCAATAATTAACATAGACATTATAAGAGATCGATATATAATTATAAAATATGCGATCTTTGCTGAATCGCTATAGAAAAAGTCGTTCATATGTTTGTGAATTTATATAGAGATATAATAAGTTCGGCTATATGAATATGATTAGTGTTGGTCGAGATAGATCACTCATTACATCAGGTTAATTCGATCATAGACACGTATGAAAAATGGCTGAATAAATTGGAATTAAATGTATGATAATTAATCTAAGTGAAATCGAAAATCCTAACTATCAAATCATGTAATCTTATCTACAGTTTTAATTTGAGTTTGTTATTTTATTTATTAGAATTTTTCGCTTAGAAAACAAAACTTGAGGTGATCATTAGTTACTACTTTTATTTAAATTGAAGTTATGTTAGTTTAAAAATTTATAGTAGATAGTAGTCTCTGTGGGACGATATTCGAATNGTGGGACGATATTCAGATTTAATAAATTTACTTTATTATTTGTTACGATTCGTACACTTGCCAAATTTCACGAACATGAACCAAGCTAGCATTTTCTATTCTGCGCAATGGCTTGCATCTCGCTTGCAAGGTAAAAGAATTTAAATTTTCAATGAAATTTTAAAAATTATAGTAATAAATGTGACGGGCACAAGCGGCTTGCCTCGGTTCGCCTCGCCTCGCCTACGAGGGTTTCTTTCGCTATCATATTATCGAAGTCACAAAATTTTGAAACGGGTTGATTTGTGCTTGATTCGACCCGTTTAACATCCTTACGTCTAGATACAATTCTGTTTTGAGTGGACCAACTAAAGTGCAAGTTTTCAGCATGGGCTGGTGGGCTATATCAGGTCCACCATATAAATATTTTTCAAGGCCCAACCCCACTCATAAGCTAAGGCCGCATTCGCAAATTAAATTTGAGCACTTGAGCTTTAAGTATCAAGATATAAGTAGGCCAAAACCCAAGAATTAAGGCCCAGTACATTTGATGTTGAACAGATCCAATCCTTTAAGCCCGAAATGACACAATCCATTGTTCAACTCATCTAAGGAAGGGCTCACCAAATAAAGGAATGATCAACAAGCACGTTAGGAAGAGCTTAAAAATTAACTTGTGTGTAGGTTGGATCAATTTTTTACCCAATCAGACATGATCAATTTGATCTAAAATCAAACCAACCAAATTCAATTATGTGTTTAAAACCAATCGAACCCAACTTAGCCCAAAGCAATTAAGCTTGGGTCAGTTTGGATTGAATTGGTCGGTTGGGGCTTGTACCTAATTCAAGTTGGATCTGGTTACATTTTTGTTGAATTTGAACAAATTTTTTAAGTGAAAATTACACTAAACCCTATGTTTCAAGATCGAACTTAAAAAATCAGATCCAAAGTTTACTTATTCAAAAATCAGATATTTTATTTTAATTAAATTTTTTATAAAATATATATTTTTACTAAATATATATACTGCAATACACGTTACAAACCCTAATTAGCTTTCAAACTACACTCTCTCTACTTTTCTCCATCATCTCTCTACAAACTGCCGCCTCTCTCTACATTCTCTCTCTCCACCAAACTTTTTGGCACCACAACTCCAGCTTTGAGGCCCGGCATCGGAGGCGCACCCCTGCGCAGCGGAGTTGAGGCTCAGTGATCGTCGGAGGCGCAGCCATGTGGCGATTTGGACTTTTCTCCGGTCCCTGAGCAGCGGAGTTGAGGCTCTGCGATCGTCGGAGAGGCAGCCTCCTCTCTTCTCTATCTCTCCTCATTTCGCCATATTCTTTACCAGTGGGAACGACACACGATCGTCGCACCTTTTAGTGGCACCAACACGAGCATCGCTGTCGTGCACAGTGCTGCCATTCTCCTGGGTCTGGGTCTGATTCTAAGGACAACAGTGATCAGATAAGAATAGAACGAATTAGTCGCCTGCAGAGTTTTGAGGTGGTGGATCTGGTGGGTTGTGATGCGGTGGTGGGAGATGGTTCGGGCGAGGGTGGCAGATTTAATGGGTTATGATGCGGTGGTGGGTGGTACTGGGAGATGGTGGTTTTGGCTGCGGCAGTTCGACGGGTATTTTTCGATTCATTTTTTTTTTTGGTGTTTGCGTTGTGGTGGCGGATCTGGGCGGTTAAAGGTGGTGGATCTGGTGGATTGTGATGAGGCGGTGTGGTTGCGGTGCTGGGAGATGGTGGTGGTGGTTTTGGCTGCGAGAGCTTCGATGGCTATGCGGCTGGTGGCAGTGGTGAGGTGGTGGTCACAAGTGTCGGGGGTGGTCACAGAAGTCCGCCGGTGGTGGTTACAAAAAAAATCGCATAATGGACTAACTGTGACATTAAAATTCGACAATATGTGACTAAAAATTAATTAGTGACCAATAAATTTGAAAATATGTGACTGAAAGGTAATTGTGACCAATAATTTTTTACGATCAATAAAATAATATGTGACCTATAAAATTATTGATCTATGACTTCGAAATAATCCGTGATTTATAAAAATTTTGATCTATGACCGATAAACAAACTGTGACCTAATTGTTACATGTAATTTTTTTATCTGTAACCAATAAAATAATATGTGACTTATAAAATTATTAATTTGTGACCTCGAAATAATTTGTGATCAACAAATTTGAAAATATGTGACCAATGAAATTAACCATTTTTTATATGTGACCTAAAAATTATAGGATCTGTAACCGTAAAAAATCTGTGACCAATTAATTTGGAAATCTGTGACTGTGTGACCTATAAATTTTGATATGTGACCAACTAATTTTGAAATCTGTGACCAACGAATTCAATGTGACCTATAAAATTTTTGAACTGTGACCGTAAATTGTAAATCTGTGACCTGAATGATTGCCGGAATAGTCGCCGAAATAGTAGCCGGAATGGTCACCGGAATCGGAGCAGTCGCCGAAATGGTCGTCGATGTGACTGTGTGACCTATAAATTTTGATATGTGACCAACTAATTTTGAAATCTGTGACCAACGAATTCAATGTGACCTATAAAATTTTTGAACTGTGACCGTAAATTGTAAATCTATGACCGGAATGATTGCCGGAATAGTCGCCGGAATCGGAGTAGTCGTCGGAATGGTCGCTGGAGAAGAGTGGTCGCCGGAATAGTCCCCGAAGCAGTAGGGGTGATGCATGTGGGGTGAGTTTATTATATTATATTATATTAAAATTTTAAAAAAAAGGCTGATTTTTGAATTTTCAAACTATAAAAATGATTTTTGAATTGGTGTAAACTAAACACCTTATTTATAAATTTTTCTCATTTTTTAAAGTTTAAAACCACTTGAAAACATTCGTTATTTTTAACATATATATGTATTCTTTCTAAAAAGTAATATATAAACGAGTTTGAAATTATGGAATATTTTCCTTTTTAGTTTATCATTAATAACTTTACATTTGTACATAATATTCATGCCAATTAACTTAAGTAAAAAAAGGAATGTTTGTATATTCTAAGTCCTTTTCTTGTCTTCACTATTGTGCATATTTAAGTTTTTCCATTTTAGCTATTAAGATTTTTAATTCATCGGGTTGGGTATGGTTTTAA